GTGTTCAATCATCTTCCATCTTCAGATCACGAAAGGCCGACAAGTCAATCTACATCTTCAGGTTTAAGAATACTGAACATGGGAAACTGTTGTACCAAAAAATTTTCCCTCCCATTTTACTCAATACATGCTCATTGAGGTTCCTAATTGCTCAAGGATGACCAAGAATTGACCAGGCAAATTCCCCTCCTAAGGCAATGAACCTCTAATTAGGGTTTCAATTTTCATCAAGATTTGTGAGCTCCAAAGGTCTCAAATGTTTTCCATGGTCCTAATATGTCTTCAAGATTGTCCATGCCAAATTTCATGCCTTGCACTACAAGTTTGCTCAGTCAATTTCCCAAATGTTTGAAAATCCACTATACTAGGTCAAAAGTCAACTGTGACCTATATATAGTCAAACTCCAAGGTTTTTGGTAAACCTCGACATTTTGAATTTATATCCATCATTTGATTAATGTTTGATCATGATTCCTTAAGAAATACTCCTAATTCATCAAAAGTCAAGAATTGCTAATTAGAGTTTCTATAGGAAAAGTCAACCAAACTTTGACGAGGCATAACTTTCACATACTTCATCCATTTTCCCCAACCAAATCTCATTTTGAATAGAATCCAATTCCCTAAAACTTAGCTTCATCCCTCAAGTCCAAGAAATGCACCATTTGAAAGATACAAGCTCATACATTATAGGTCATTTTCAGAAAGTCAACAAAAGTCACTTTTTGTCAAGACCTTTTACATCAAGATAAAATCTTCAACTGATAAATTGATCAAAAGAGAGATTGAAGTAGATATATTGGGATTTCCAAAAAGTCAAAGATCATCATCATAAGCTAAAAATTGAGCAAGTTATGGCTTGCACAAGTTGGGTAATTTTCAAGAAAATGCATGGAGTCAACTTTGGGCAAAATCATTTTTCAAGCTAATAAGCCTAATTTTTAGGGCCTAAACATTTTCATGACATGTCTAAGGACCCATAAGACCATTTTTGCATAGTATTGATCTTATTTGCATTTTATATTAATTTTATTTAATTTAAAATCAAATAAATCAAAATTAATGCAAATAATATGGGCCATTAGTGCTTGGGCTTGGTTTGATGCATGGAAGGGCCCTATATCGTGTCCAGCTTGGCTAGCATGTCCAAGTTCATAGAAAATTCAAAAAGGGACAAGAATGCACACTTTTTTCAATTTTTCAAATATTTGTTTATGGCCTTAAAACACTACCTTAATAGTTGATTTTTGTCATAACACCCCTCCTTCTACTCTATATAAGCAGCATGTTTGCAAGCATAATGGATGAAAAAGGGAGCCTGAAAGAAACCATACAAAATTTACAAATTTTTTCCAAAGTTGTGAAATCCAAAAGCACACTTCCAACCTTCCTCGTGCCAAATAAACCTTACCATTCAATCCCTGAGACCCTCAGGAGATCATCCAGACCATTTGCAAGGTGTGCAACACCCTAGAACCATAAATCTATGCGTCACCGGACCTTGGTAAGGTTTTAATTCGAAACCTTTCAAATATATAATATAAATTAATTCTCTTTAAATATTCATGTTAATATTGTTGCTTGCGAATGTTCTAACGTATTTCATGTGAGTCACAGTGCCAGAATCATAGATCATCATTGTTAGGGTTTCAAAACATGGAAGTTTTGGTTTCAGGGATAGAGGTGGTTTTAGCCCAAACCAAGACCAGGGTTGAATTTGCAGCCTAGCTTTTAGGGGGGGTATCCAAAATTTCAGATCTCAAAGCTTTTTATTTTGCAGGTTATGAATCTCTCCATACTGGAGAAGATGGTAGTCAACCACCGTGGAGGGTGGTTTGACCACCCCGGAGTTGGCGTGGCAAGAGCGCGCATTTTTATTAGTGGATTCAAATATAAGCAGGGCCCACTGGGCCCGTGTTTTTTTTGAATAATTTCTTATTTGTTTTTATAATATAATATTATTATGTTATATGAATTAACGAATGAACAGGTGGCTCAGATAGCAAGGCGTGTGTTTGTGAAGCTAAAAGGGTTGGATTCGATCCCCAGGCTTGGTGTTTTTTTTCCTATTTTTTAACAAATTTGCTGCAAATCCAATGCACAACATTCCATGCGCATACCATACACTCCCAATTGACCACCATCAGATCATGATTACTTTAGATCCAAGAGCTTCCACGCGTAGATCTACAATATGCCATCAAGACTTGTCCTTACAGGATTATGCGGATGTTGGGCTCTTCCATACACGGGCCTAGAAAATTTCAATCAGCACCCCCCATTCTACTTTTGCATACCCAGGCCCAATCCATTTTTATTGTTCTTTTTTTCTACTTATTTAATTATTTCCTAGGCTTTTCTTTTAATCATTTTTTTTAATAAATCATAAAATAAAATAAAAATTAAATAGACTTAGGTTTTCTTAAATTAATTTTAATTTTTGTAAATTATTTTAATTAATTATTTGGATATTATTTTATTAATTTAAAATCAACTAGACTTAGGTTTATTTAATTCAAAGATTTTCTTAATAAAAACACAAAAAAAAAACATTTGAATTAGGTTAATTTCCATTTAATATTTACTTTTCTTAATTAAATTTAGAGTTAATTTATTTTAAGCATTTTTCTTAATCAAAAATAATAAAAAAAACCAAAATAAAACTTTTTCTTTCTTACTCGACAATTTCTTAGGGTTTTAGACGTTCGTCTCTATTTTGCGCGCATTTATTCTATTCTCGCATTTTTTATAATAATGTAACTGCTTATGGGGTGTAATAGTCTAGATTTAAAGTCCGCACTTTACTTTCTTGCATTTTTTATGTAACTGTCCCAAAGCATTGTAATAGCGTAGGATTTAAATTCCCGCACTTTAAACTTCTGTACATATTAACTGCTAGTAACTAGGATTGTATGGCAAGACTGAAAACAAAAAACGTTAGCAAACGTAAATGCGCAAGATAAATACTTGAACTAAACACAATTGCACATGCACACCTCTAGGGCATCCCACTTCAGTTGCCTTCGGAAAACAGTCACAATTCTTGAAACGTGAGAAGTTTTAGTGGCTGTCCTATAGTTTGAAAGATCACAAGTCCCTCGATGACCCTCTCGAAGTTGCCTCGGTTAAAAGTGATCTTAGAACTTTAGGACAATTACTAAAATTTATTGCCAAGTTGCCTTCATGATCGTAACGTCCCTTCGATTGTCTCTTAAATATCCAACGATAGAGGTACCTACTCACTAATAGTAGGATATCACTGTTTAAAGGATAGGAGGAAAAGAATGACCTTTTCGAGTACAAGTAGATAACTATTAGATGCTTGCTCAAAAATAAAACAAACTTTTCACACTTACATATTTCAAAAACAACCTTCAAAAGCATTTGGTTTGTCAACACTCTTGAGGACTCATACAAGAGTTAACGCAAAGCGAATCGCCACACTAAGGCATTTCAAACATTTTTCGACACACTAAGCACAAGAAAATTTTCAAAACATGAGGTAGCATCTAAGAGTCCGTAGATAACTACGGATGGAAATGGTTCTAACACCTTCTCTTTCTATAATCTACCCCCTTGCTCAGAAAATTCTTGAAAAGGTCTTTTTCTATTCTATTGCACCTGTAGCGGTGAAAATCGTAGATCAAGCTATTAATTAACTTGACTTACAAAAGCAAGAGTCGCCACCCGCGCTTTATTATTTCCAAGGGAAAAGGGAAAAGAGCGAAATAAAACCCTAAAATATGCAATGTAAAATAATACTTAAAAGTAATAAAATACAATGCGTTTTTGAAAGAGATCGAGAGTTCGGGGGTTGGTTATACAATGGGAAGGTATTAGCACTCAATGCATCTGCGGTACTCCGCAGGAACCTTTTGAAATATCTGTTTTTTGGTTAAAATTATTTGTTTAGTTAAATGGGTATGGATGAGATTTTGAAGATACGACGACCTAGTGTTGAAGTTTTGACTTAAAAGGTATGAGTTTGAAAATGGAGTCTTTTGGGAAAATTATCTTAAGTTTGGAAAAATAGTAAACAAGCAAAAAATGAATGAGGGTATTCGCACGATTGTAGAAGATGTATTTGATGACATGAAGTCAGCTGAGTTGAAAGATTTCCCTTGGAATTAATCATAAGCAGGTAGATCTAATATTCGAGTAAGAAATCATAAATAATTAAAATCCACGAGAAACGAACAAGGTAGATAACAAGATAAATTGTAAGAAACTAAATGAATGGACAAAGAAGAATCATGAATAAAAGAAAAGTGTAATTAAAATTATCTAAACTAATTTGAAATTCTAAGGTTACTAAGTAAACTAAACTTAAATTCTAAAGTGTCTAACTAAATTAAATAAAATTTTGAAGTTATTAACTAAATTAAAACTCTAAAGTTACTAACAAAAATTCGAAAGTTATTAAATTAAATCTAAAATAAATTAACACTCTAATATTACTGAATTAGGTCTAAACTAAATTAATTCTAAAGTTGCTAAATTACATCTAAACTAGTTTAAGTATAAACTAAATTCGTTATAAAATTACTAAGTTAATCTAAACTATATTAATAATAAAATTACTAACTTAAATCAAAACTAAATTAATTCTAAATTAAAGATTAAAATTCTAAGATTAAATTAAAATTCTAAAGTTATCAAAATGTATCTAAACTAATTGGAAGTTCTAAAGTTATAAAATAGATCTAAACAAATTAAAATTTTTAAGTTATCAAAATATACCTAAACTAATTAAAGGTTCTAACATTACTAATTTATATCTAATTAAATTAAAATCCTAAAGTTATTAATTATGATTCTAAATATTTTAAAGTTATAAAATACATCTAAACTAATTAAAAAATTCTAAATTAATACTAAACTAAATCTAAATATAAGATTTACTAATATTTTTTTTATATTTTTTTTTAAAAAAGGAAATAATAACTAACAGCTTTATATCATTCAGTAACTAAATAAAATCATATTATACCCAAATTATATTACTCACAAGCCAGTTTAGTGCCAAAGCTAGTTAAGCAAATCGCAAAAGCATGGAAGGCGGATATGGTGGTGGTTGTTGCAGCCTCGCAACTACCATGGATAGTAACACGAACCAGTGTCCCAGACACTATGACATGTAAAGTATTACAAAGCACAACACCTGTCCAAAATAAGCTTACGGAGAGGACCCCAAGAAGCCACCAGCGTCCACCGTCACCCATGCTTGAAACTACAACACCAGCAGCCCCAAATGACCATAAGGCCATCCATAAAAGCACCAAAGCCATAGTCGCGTATGCTACTCTCAAAACCTCAGGAAGATTCCATACCATTTTCACAGCCTTTTGTAATACCAACATTGTAAATGGAAGTCTATTTATGACAGAAATAATATACAAAAAGTGCAGAGCTGCTCCAATAGCAAAAGCAATACCCCAGAAAAACTGGTGAGCCCAAAAACACAAAACACTGATGACAGCAAGATAAGTGGTAAGAATGTGGACAGACACCTTCATCATCTGGATAGCACGCTAACCCAACAACAACAACCAACTCCATCCAAGAGCAGTCCCAACACCGCCGGCAACAGCATAGAGTGGCCAGTAATCCTCTGTGAGACCAGCTTGATTTTCCATGAAGCGGTATGTGTACTTGTCAATGTCAAGGCGATTCTTTTTCTTGAATCTGTTAACGCCTAAAATGACAAGGACAAAACCCAATCCAATTAATTGGATCACAAATAATCCTAACCAGAACACATCGTGGCAACGCCTTCTTTGCTCCATGCTCGCCACTTGGATGATGTTTGTTTTCACCTGATCTGGTTGTTGGTTGTAATGGAAGAATCTATCATTGTAATAGTAATAGGGTATGAAAAAGCATTGCAGCTTGTCGTAGTAAGAGAGGGAGACAAAGGTTTTGGAGAATGTTGAGAGTTTTTGTTGTGTATAGAAGAAGAGATTGGATAGAGGAAATAGATAGTAATTGTTTTCTTTTTTGAAGAGGATGGATGATTGAAGAGATAAAAAGAGGGTGGCTTACTTTAAGTAGAAAAAGAGGAATAGAAAGTTGGAGAGAGATAAGGGTAAAAAGTGATTAATATTGTTTTGGCAATTTTGTATCGATCCTCAATTTCATCCAACAACCAATGAAAATCAAGCATAGTATATTTAATATTTTTTTGTGACTAAAAATCCCTTTAATGACAAAAATAAAAACAAAAACTTGAAAGTATAAAAGATAATTCAATTTAAAATAGTTTTTTTTGAATTTTTCTGAATAAAAAATAAAGACCCAAAATGACCAAAAATGATAAAAAACGGACGAAAATTTATCCGAAAAAATAAAATGAACACATTAAAATAATCTACATGTCACAAAGATTAAAGAAAAAATATTCAAGAAGTCAAAAATCAAAATAAAATAATAATAAAATGTCAGACTAAACAGACGTTCAAGGTTAAAAACGAGACTTCGAACTGTACCGAAAAAATAAAGCGAGCATACCGTCATAATCTACGCGAAGCGCAGATTCATAAAATGATCGGTAAAAGGTGAAAACTTGAAATATTTTCTCGCTACTTTCCCGCACAATGTCGAATCGCTTTTAACAGTCTGTCTATAAAACCGAAATATTTTTATTATCGACATATAAACAACTTGGGGCAATGCAAGAAAATAGTAAACAGATAAAAATGAATGAAGTGAAATGCCGGGTATTTTACAACTGAAAGACGATGCAAACTTTGATTTAAACTGACTTTTTCTGATCAACTTAAATACGACTAATGATGCAAAATATGATGAATGAAGATATTTACTAATGATTGTGACCAAATAACAGAATATGATATGAAAGTGCGACTAAAACATATTAGGGGCGAAATTTAGGATGCAACAGTTATGCCTTGATGAATCAGTCTTCGAGAATCCATAATCAACCGTACTTTTGGCTTGGGAGACTCAAAACCTTAATTGAGGCGCGACGCCTGATGCTCTTGATTCAGACCTGTCTCTGCACATGACACAAAAGAAAACATGAACATACACCTTTGTATGCGATTAGAAATTAGTGATACATATGCTAAAAATGTTCAAAACACTTGACAATCTTCGCATAGTCAAAGCTCGAAGGTGAGACGTTAAAACCGACCGTATTTCGTGACCTTGACTTATCTTAAAAAAATGCAAAAATAAAAATGGGATCTTACGTCAAAAATTGGGGTACAACAGCTGCCTCTATTTAAGTTTCTTCTATCTGGAGATATGAAGATTGGGATCTTCATTTCGACGAGATTGAAGGGACTTAAATATAGAATACACAATTTTTGGCCTTAAGATACCGCGATTATGTTTACGATATGATATGAATGTGATGTTTTGAATTTTATGGGGAATGACGCCATATGAGACAGACTATGCTAGAGAAACCAAGCACATTATACAGTAATCCCACAGAGGAAGAGGTCGTAACTCCACTGGGGAAACAGAGTCATAGACTTCAAATGAGAGACTCTTGAATGATTTACATAAGTATTGAGACTGGAGAAGGGAAAGGATTGACATTAAAATTGTGAATGGAAAAGGAAATGATTGACATCAGTACTGAGACTGGAAAAGCATAATGATTGACATCAGCAATGTGGCTGGAGATAAACATATCTGATTTCTGAATTTTACCAAGAACGGTAACACATTTCTTCTCTAACCAAGATATCGCTTGAAAAGGATAAAATAACAAACTTCCCCACGAGACTTTTTCGAAGGGATGCCATTTGCTGAGTAGACATTATTGTTGGGGGTACACAAGCTGTTCAAATAAAGAGGCCGCCACTTGCTTCCTTTCAAAGGTGTTAATAACGTACAAGTTGCTTATGAAGAGACCGCCGCTTGTTTTTCTTTTCAAAATTACCAATAACACACAAGTTGCTCATGAAGAGATTGCCGCTTGTTGTTTTCCTTTCAAAATTACCAATAACACACAAGTTGCTCATGAAGAAACCGCCGCTTGTTGTTTCTTTTCAAAATTACCAATAACACACAAGTTGCTCATGAAGAGACCGCCGCTTGTTGTTTTCAAAGGTGACAATAACGAACAAGTTGCTCATGAAGAGACTGTCGCTTGCTGTTTTTTCAAAGGTATCAATAACACACAAGTTGCCCATGAAGAGACCGCTGCTTGCTGTTTCTCAAAGATATTAATAACATACAAGTTGCTCAAATAAAGGGGCCGCCACTTGCTACTTATAACTCACAAGCTGCTCATGAAGAGCTGCCACTTGCTGTCTTCAAAGAATATCAAAGCATACAAGCCACTCATGAAGAGTCTGCCACTTGTTGCCAATAACCCACAAGCTGCTCATGAAGAGCTGCCACTTGCTGTCTTCAAAGAATATTAAAGCACACAAGCTACTCATGAAGAGTCCGCCACTTGTTGCCAATAACCCACAAGCTGCTCATGAAGAGCTGCCACTTGCTGTCTTCCAAAATACTAACGTACAAGCTGCCCATGAAGAAGCTGCCACTTGCTATTTTCTGTACAAGCTGCTCATGAAGAGACCGCCACTTGCCGTTTTCAAAAAGTGTTGATAACATACAAGTTGTCCATGAAGAGACTGCCGCTTGCTGTTTTTAAAAGTGTTGATAACATACAAGTTGTCCATGAAGAGACTGCCGCTTGCTGTTTTTAAAAGTGTTGATAACATACAAGTTGTCCATGAAGAGACTGCCGCTTGCTGTTTTTAAAAGTGTTGATAACATACAAGTTGTCCATGAAGAGACTGCCGCTTGTTGTTTTTAAAAGTGTTGATAACATACAAGTTGTCCATGAAGAGACTGCCGCTTGCTGTTTTTAAAAGATACCCATAAAATATCATGAAGATATTGCTGGAGGTGAGAATCAATAATTTCATCGAGGATGGACAAACTGCTCATGAAGAGACCGCCATTTGTTGTAGAGAAATTAGAAATAATCAAACTGCTCAAATAAAGAGTCAGTCGCTTGTTGTCATGTCGATATTCCAGAAGAAGGTTGTGATAACACTGCTGGGGAATAAAGTTCATCTTCAATGGGGAACCATGAATAAATCCTTCTTGAGGAGACCAAGTATTTACGTTGCAAAATAAATGCACTCTCCATCTAGGTTTCACAGCCTATAGAGATCCACAGGGTATCGTTCACAAGAGACAAAGCTCAATCCAGGAATAAACTGGAGAGAAAATAGTCAAACAAGACTCCACCCAATGAGGAAATAACTCAAATGGGGATTTATCCTATCCAGAGATGGAAAAGGAAAGCTAAAGCAAGATTTTTCCACGAGAGTTAACTTAGTGGGGAATTAGAAAAGAGGCGCACTTTCTGCTTAAGTTGACACTCTATTTGGAAAGATCAAATATGCTATTTGAATAGACATAACCAAGGTATACGAACTCAAAGATATCAATAAATACAAATGTGCGTGCATGATGCAAGTATGAACGAATGAATGAATGTCATGTATATGTTGACAAAATAGACAGGGGAGATAGACAGAAGATGATAAGACATCCCAGTACAACCCGACACTCAGCTAATCTCAACAAAAGGGGAACATTACTGGAGATAAAAACAAAAGCCATCATTGGAGCAAAGTCCTTTTACAAGGCTTAAATCTCTTTGGAGAGGAAGATATTTTTCGGTAGAAAGCCTAAAGTTCAGTCTTCTATCGCAAACAATCCATTGAAAGGATAACAACACAAACAATGTTTCAGCTGGAAAAAGTCATGCTTGGCTGGAGATACTGAGAACACCACCCTCTGATAATGTGTGCAAAACATATCATATATCTTGACAAATCTGGATTTCCCCTAGGACTAATTTTGGATGCTCCAAGTTTACTGTTGATAAGCTGCATGATGCACGACAATTCTTGCGAATAGCTTCACTTCTAACATGCCCCAAGCTATCTGGTTGATGAGGAGAAATCGTCTCAAGAGGATTTTACAAAAGACCTGGCATTCACCATGCTCTGGTGTCTTCAAACTCTTAGAGGAATTCATCAAATCTCGACGTGATTGCCCCGAATTGACTGTAGTTGGCACAACAAAGTCTTCAACTTTTGCCCCAATAAAGGGTAAACAAGTTGGGAAAGCATTAACTGGGAGAAGCAACATGTTCGTGCTTACGGTCTTCAGGTGACATGCCCCTGGATATGATTTTTTCTTAAAATGATTCTCCAATTACTCAACATAGTTTCAAGCCTTAAAAGAATAAACTCATCACTGGTGCTTATATGAGCTTCCTTGATATCAAACAAATGTTTTGCAGTTAGAAAAAGTTTACAATGAGAATGAAAATTCTAATGCAACAGTTATGTAAGTCTTGAAGATTTTGAAAGATATCGCACAAATTTTGCGAGCTAAAGCACCATTTATTTTTGTATAGGAAAAACATATGATACCAACATAACCATTTAGAACATTCATGGGAGTCAGGAACACTATCTCATTGAAGTATGCTTTTAAAATAACCTTGCTTCAATTAGGACTTTTGAAGGTTGTAACGTGGTCTGGTTCATGGTTTTTAGAAAAAAAGATTTTAAGGCTCAAAATATTTGGTGCCCACCCATTCTTCATGATGTTCTCCAACCCTATGTTCAGTTAATTCAACATGAGTGTTCATCTCTCAAAAGGATTTTGTGACGGTCAAGGAAACGACGAGGCTTTCGGAGTAGAAACCACCCTCATGTCTTTGTGTTTGTAGTCACCAATTTGTTCTTTGCTGAGGACTTTTCTTTGCAGTCTTTTT